AAATTTGGACTTAAAAGATGAACAGTAACAGATCGGAATCTATGGGTTTGAAAATTGATTGATGAACAGTAACCGACTCAAGATTTTGGGCTTAAAATACGTGAATAGTAACAGAATTGATTTTTGATTTTGTATGGCTTGATCTAAACAAAAAATTTATTGGATCATCAATGGGGTAAAAACGGATTAGATCCAATGAAACAAACCGATCAAATTAAAAAAAACGTAACGCACGATTCAATTATTAAGAGAGATCATAGAGAGAGACTCACCAAAATTGTTCAAATTGCGACAAATGTTGCCAAACCGAGAATCGTTCTTCAAAAATCACCTTGATCCTGAAGACCCACTCTGATACCAATTGTAGTGACATAAGAACATGGTTTGGCATGCGGAATTAAAGTTTGCACAATGAACATGGTGATTTGGGTGTTCAAGAGATGTATTGAATATGTATGGTGTTACAAAAAGGGACATAGATCTACATCTACATAAATAACACACACTCACACACTCAACTTTTACACCTCTACAAGTGGTATGAACCCACCTTATATAGAGGTGTTTACATGTCTCTCTCTCACTCTCACTAACACATGGGTCTAAAGGCTAATGCACCACATGCAAGTGGGTCTACAAGAGTCAAACCATTACAAAGTCATACATGAAGAACTTTGCACCCCAACAATGAAGCACACAAAACCCGATACTCCATTCATCCAGGTCCAGACAAGATGTACCTGGACCTCAAGAAACTATACTGGTGGCCTAACATGAAGGCCGAAATTGCTACCTTTGTGGGCAAGTGTCTTACTTGTGCCAAAGTCAAGGTAGAATACCAGAAACCTTCAGGTTTATTGCAACAACCTGAAATCCCTAAATGGAAGTGGGAGCGGATTACAATGGATTTCATAACCAAGTTACCCAAGACATCGGGTGGTTATGATACTATTTGGGTAATCGTCGATAGATTAACCAAATCCGCACACTTCTTACCAATCAAAGAGACCGACAAGATGGAGAAGTTAACAAGAACTTACCTCAAAGAAATCGTTAGACTGCATGGTGTGCCAATATCTATTATTTCTGACCGAGATAGTAGATTCACTTCTCGTTTCTGGCAGTCTTTGCAAAAATCTTTGGGAACTAGGCTGGACATGAGTACAGCCTACCATCCACAAACTGACGGACAAAGTGAGAGAACAATTCAAACACTAGAAGATATGTTGCGAGCTTGCGTGATAGACTTTGGAAAGGCATGGGATACTCATTTACCTCTTGTCGAATTCTCTTATAATAATAGTTATCACACTAGCATAAAGGCTGCTCCTTTCGAAGCTCTCTATGGCCGTAAGTGCAGATCACCTCTGTGTTGGGCTGAAGTGGGTGACACGCAGCTAGCTAGAAGTCAAGTTCCTGACGGTACTCTCACTGGTCCGGAAATTATTCGCGAAACTACGGAGAAAAACGTACAAATCCGGGAGCGACTTAAAGCATCCAGAGATAGACAGAAAAGCTACGTTGACAAAAGAAGAAAACCTTTGGAGTTCCATGTTGGTGACCGCGTCATGTTGAAGGTCTCACCCTGGAAAGGCATGATACACTTCGGAAAGCGTGACAAGATGAATCCAAGGTACATAGGACCATTTGAGATTCTGGCTAGAATCGGTCCAGTAGCTTACAAACTCCGACTACCTCAAGAACTAAGTAACATACATCTTGTTTTCCACGTCTCGAACTTGAAAAAGTGTCTGTCCGAAGAGACTCTTGTAATTCCACTCGACGAAATCGAGATCGACGAGAGCCTCAACTTCATGGAAGAGCCGGTAGAGATCATGGACCGAGAGGTCAAGCAAACAAAGCAAAGTCGTATTCCTATAGTGAAGATTCGCTGGAATGCCAAGCGGGGACCAAAATTCACTTGGGAGCGCGAGGATCAAATGAAACTGAAATATCCTCATCTTTTTGCTTAATTATTTGTAATTGCTTAATTGCATAAACTCTCATTTCGGGACGAAATTCTCTCTAACGGGGGGATAATGTGACAACCCGAAATTTCTATCTTGTAATCACAGTCAAACTCGTTTCTGCTATCTTTTAGCATTGTTCAGGGTCTGTTTGAGTGTTCTAAGTCTAGTACATTCAAGGTTTGGGTTTAGGGATGAGTTAACTTAAGTTCATCGTATTGTATTCGGGCCAAAAACTCCATTTAGAGGAGTGTACGGCCGTACACATGTGCACGACCGTACACATGTGCACGACCGTACATAGGAGTGTACAACCGTACACATGGGTGTACGACCGTACACCCAAGGTGCCGTGAACCCAAACATATATATGTTTTCCCTTCATTCTTCCTCATTTCTCACACTTTCACCTCAAGAAAATCCGATTCTCTCTCAACTATCATCAAGATTTACACCTTGATCTTCAAATAAGTAAGTATTCATTCCATTTAATTGTTGATACATGGCTTTATCTAGTGAAGATCCATGTTTTCATCCATGAAATCTTCTATTTTGGTTAGATCTTCAAATCTTCTTCACTTTCACCAAGAACACTTACTTGTTCTTGAGCCTTGAACTCCTTAAAAGTCTTCAAAAGTGTGAGTATCTCTTCTATCTGCTTGTTAAGCTTGATAAACACTCGATTCCTAGCCATGATTCATCATCTAATGCAAGAACATCAAGGGTGTACGGCCGTACACACTTCATATGGCTGTAAACCCTTGTTTAATGCATGTATAGGCCTCAAACTCACCCCATGTTTCAACATAAGACCATAAACACTTAATGGATGCTAGTTAGGGCCATAAACCCCCATTTTTGCATGTTTCCTCAATGAGTGTACGGCTGTACACTCCATGGCCATACACATCATGTCGTACACTACATGGGCCGTACACATCAAGACTGTACACTCCATGAGCCGTACACCCCTTGGCCATACACTCCCATGACTAGCCGTGAACCCCCTTTAGTCAATCACATGTGATTGTAACACTTAAATTCAAGTGTTTCCTAGTCCCTAAGGTGATTTCTTTGCATGATTAGTTGTATATACACTAATTTTATTCATATATGTATCATTATATGCTAATAGGATCCGTTTGTGTTCAAGACTTCACTTGACACTTAGCATCCTACCTCGAACTTTCACTCGAATCACTCACCACAGGTGAGTTCATACCCCCATATTTTCATAGTTTTTACTGTTTTAAGGGGGGAATGCAAGTCTAACACAAAGATTTTGTGTTATAAACAAATGGTTTCAAATATCTTATCAAAATGGATTTCAGTTATTATCAAATCAAATGGTTTTAAATGATTATATCAAAATGACATCAAGTCATCAAAATGTATTTCAAATTATTAAACTTCTTTTAAATGTTTTTATAAACTTATATTTCTCCCAAAAATCATACTAGTATATGTATATTTATATAAATAAGATTTAAAAGGCTTAGGACTGATAACCCATTTTGGTTCCTTTTCCTTGTTTGGATGTGGGATTACAAGTATCAGTTGTTTGTCCGAGTGTCATTTAAATTTTACCTATATATATCTGTATATGTATGCAAGTATAAAAGTTAGTTCATTAAGTTCAATTACCCTTTGTAACATGTTGAGCAAGGGGTTGCATTCATGAATACTCAGTATCAGTTTAGAAAGTACATATAAATTATAATAGGTATAATTTATGATTCACAGAACATTAATTCACGATTCAAGTATACTAAAGTACATTGTTTTACAAGAACAAAGGTTTGATTCAAAACTAATCAAGGATATACATCTTTCAGATACATGTTAAGAATACTAATTCAAGAACATACAGTCTGTCATTTATTTCAAAACGATTGGGTTTTTCTTAACGATTATACATGTAACGTTTATATGCTTTTATGAGTCAAGTGGTACAGGTTGTTTAATTCATTTAAACAATATAGTAAATTCCTGACATTATAACCAGAATCTCCAGCCGGGGATCGAAACAATGTGTGTATAGATCTATATTGGGATTGACAACCCCGCACTCGGACTGCTGGCTACAGTCAGGCATATACGCCTGTGAGTGACAAATTATTATCAACAGTTTTCAGCGCATTCATAGCGTTGGGTCAGGCCATCTAGTCAGTATGGTTATAATAACTCATATAAAAGATATTAACAATACGTTAGTGTATAATTAACTAAACCTAAGTACATTTTCAAAGTACTAGTTTACAAGATACAGTTTACAATATTACATTACAGTTTACAATAACAGTTGATGAAATCAGACACACTCTCAGATACAAGTTTACAAAATGATTACAAATATAGAACATTGGTTTACAAATGGAACAGTTTTATGTAACTAAAACTACTTTTCATATACAGCAGAAAATATAGGATTTTCTGGAACAGTTTACATATTCAAGAAACAAAAAACATTCTTTCAAACATAAATACTTATGCACTCACTCAACTTTATGTTGATACTCTCTTTTCAAATTACTTGTATTCTCAGGGAACCAGTAGACAGGTACTCCCCGAGCTTTTGAGAAGATGGAGCTATTTATGTCTTGTCTTCTTCTTGTGTATAACTATTTGGTTTCAGTATACTATGATGAAACACATGTAAATACTTATACTTTTTAAATACAGTGGTTGTTTGTACTCTGATTACTATAATGCATGTGTTATGATACTACAAATGAAGTCCTCCACCCCCGGACGTTTCCGCCGTCTGGTTTGGGGGTGTGACACCGATAACTTGCCGTTCTAGTCTGTACATACGTTTCACTATTTTGTTATGAGTACGGATTGTGCACATAACACGTTTGATGAATTGCCACTCAATCAAAATCTTGGCTAGTTTATTCATATCTAGAATCAAATCATTCCAGTAGAACACACACACATCTGAGAACTGTATCCTGTGTAGTTTTTCAAAGTATTAGCTACAAAGGGTGGTAGATATGTAATTTTGCCCGACTTATGGGATGTTGTTGAAGTATGAGTTCCCAAATTTGCATCTTCCTGCCAGATTTTTCTGCCCACATGTCCATATGTTAGCCAAATAGAGCAGAAGGTAATAAAATTATCAATTTATCATACTCAATCATGCAATATTCCAACACATTTTTTTCCTTTTCCTTGTAGTTAAATGCATCTTTTTCTTCCCTTTTACAGGTCAGATCAAAAGAAAGCAATGTTTGGTTAAAAAGGAGATTGACGCCATCATCACCCAAGATGACATGAAGAATGCACCAAAAACAGATCAAGGTATTTATATGCTTCACAATTTGAGTAAATTGATGCACTTTTTCTTTTTGCAACTTTAATTTATGATGTTCTTTGTCTCTTGCAGCCCAGATTGTGGTCACAACAAGGCTGCATACATCCAGTTTCAAACAAGGTCAGCTGATGAACCCATGACAATAAACTTCACCTGTGAGAAATGTGGTAAATGTTGGCGTGAGGACTAAAATTCAGACCAAGGGAAACCTGCATTTTTTGCCTCAAATATTGAAACAAAGTGTTTCTACTATACTTTTGGTACTAATGAAATAAAGGTATGATTTTTTTTTATCTGTTTTACCTTTTTGCTAACAAACATGAATCTACCAATGCTACTAAAATTCAGAATTCAGATTCAGGGTTCAAAAGATGGGGAAGAAAAGGTCCATTTATTAGATATTGTGATTTACATGTGAATCACTCGTGACACATGTGAATCATTTGTGATTTACATGTGAATCACATGTAATTCACATGTAAATCATCTTAATTATTTATTTTTTCTAACCAAATAGTTTATTTTAATTCCTTCTATATTGAGCTTCATGAATCACTTGTGATTACATGTGAAACACTTGTGATTTACATGTGAATCACTTGTGATTCACATGTGAATCACTTGTGACACATGTGAATCATTTGTGATTTACATGTGAATCACTTGTAAATTATCTTAACTATTTATTTTTTCTAACCATATAATTTATTTTAATTTGTTTCATTTTAGCAATATATCACAAGTGAATCACATATGAATTACATGCAATTCACATGTAAATCACAAGTAAATCACAAGTGATTCACATATGAATTACATGTGATTCACATGTAATTCACATGTAAATCACAAGTGACTCACATATGAGTTAAATGTGATTCATATGTAATTTACATATAAATCACATGTAATTCACAAGTGATTCACATATGAATTACATGTGATTCACATGTAAATCACAAGCGAATCACATGTAAATTTCATATGAATTATATGTGATTCACATATAAATCACAAGTGAATCACATATGAATTACGTCTATATGCACACATGTATTTTTGTGAGCTTCTTGCATTAATCAGTTTTTTAAAAATTTTCTTGTAGCTTTGAAAGAGTTTGTGGAAAATATTGAAGAGGTTAAAATGATAAATTAAAGAAAATATGGAAATTTTGACACGAAGACATGAAAACGCTTTGAAATTTTGTAGTATTTTTTATTTTTTAATATTTTATTTTGTATCGAATAAAATACTTGTACTATTATGTTTATAGATTATTAAATAAAAATGAATTTTTTTATATGATTACTTACGAATATTATAGTATAAGAAAGATACATATATGTACTTGAAAAATATGCATATATGCACCTAAAATGTTGATTTTTTTTGTTAAAAAAATTACAGTTTTTTTTTTTTAATAATCTAGTTTTTTTTTTAATTTATTGATTTTTAAAAATTTACTTTAAAAAATGCAGTTTTATAAAATAAATTGCAGTTTTTTTGAAAAAATTGCAGCTTTTTAAATGCAGTTTTTTTAATAAAAAAATGCGGTTTTTTTTTAAATGTAGTTTTGTTTTATAAAAAATGCAGCTTTTTTATAATAAAATGCAGTTTTTTTTAGAAAAAATTCAGGTTTTTTTAAAAAAATATTTTTTTAATTAAAAAATGAAAAATCTCCACTTTTAAAAAAAATCAAAAATCATTTAAAAAAAATTTCGAAATTTGATTTATTATGTTTATTTTTAGAACTTTTTATTAATATTTCCAATAACAAAAAAAAAATTAAACATTAAATGAGACCGGTAAGATTACGATTATGCCCTTAATGAATTAATTTTGATCTAGCGCTCCACCTTTAGTTCTTAGGTTCTCGGAAAACAATGAGTTTTCAACGGATCTCAACCCTATATATATATATATATATATATATATATATATATATATATATATATATATATATATAAACCTCCACAACCTAACTAAATCACTGTTCCTACCTTCCAGCTAAATCCAACTAAGGGCGTGTTTGGCACAGAGCTTTTTGAAGTTTTTAGCTTTTAGATTTTGACAAAACGCTCTAGTTTAAACAAAAAGTTTTGTTTGGCAGTACGCGCATTTAGCTTTTAGTTTAAACAAAACGCTCCAAATCTAAAAATTACTTCATGTAGCGTTTAACAAAACGCTACTGAGCTTTTGTAATCAATTTCCATAATTACCTTTAAAAATATATTTATATATTTATTTATTTTTAATTAATTGTCCTTTTATGTAATTTTATATATTTCAATTTATATATTTCAAAAGTTACCAGCTACTTTTGCCAACCCATCATATAACAAATAAAAGTCACAGTTACCCGCTACCCGCTGTTTTTGCCAAACATAACCTAAACCAATCCAACCCAACCCAACCATCCACACAGCCACCTTATACCTCCGTCAACCACCATAAATTTTCTCTACAGATTCAACCCACCAGTTCACCACCATAAACCCATCATACACCACGTAAACAACCTACACCATTAAACCTGCAACAACAACCAAAGACCGCCTTATCCCTCCATTACCCCTCACCACCTCCCTAATCAGCCTTCATCCACCTTATCTCAACCATAACCAAACACCACCTTCCACTATCAACAAACCCCCACCATCATCCCTTCCATTTTACCTGAATAAAAACGCCACCATGACCAACGATCTTCATCATACCACTATCACGACAACCCTAAAGAGAGCATCCATCGAGTAAAGAAAGCGGACAACACACAACCGTAAATCATCACCATCTTGTTTCCCCTGTTCGCCGAGGTAAACAACGCGTAAAATACAGAGGGGTGCTCTGTTCTTTATCTGTAGCGAATTAGAAATAGGAAGGTGAAGGGAGGTTTTGGATCTAGGGCAACATGCCTGGTGCTTGATCGATCTAGAGAAAAAGGGAGGCTTGCAATCGATTTTGAGAGACGAAGAAGAAGGCAGGTCTGAATCGCATGAGATCACTTCGTTCGATCAGTGGAAGAAAAAGGGAAGATGCTGCAATATTTTTTTCTTTTGGTGAGTGTCGAGTGCCAGCTGATACGCACGCAAAGGGTAGAGGGATGTTGGGCTCTTTTTGTGAGCTAGCTACATTTTATCGTGGACTGCTGAATTCCTTCATTGGGCTGGCATCTTTCTTTTGTTGGGGTACACATCCACACATTATAGGGGAGTTTTCTTGGCTTATATGTTTTTTTATCAAATGTGTTGGCTTCTAATTTAATTTGAGGATGCTACTATGTGAAAAGCATTTGTTGTTATTGTTTTGATTTCAACTTTTATGGAGTAAATTTTTATTTGGAGTTTAGTTTATTTGGGTTAAGTGATAATTCTATTGCCGTTAAATTGATTGATATTGTATATGATAATTGTTTGATGTTTAAATGTGTTTATTTTCAAACCGCATAATAAAATTAGATTAATTGACAAATATTTATTATCCGACCACAAAGAGTCATAGTCGATTTCTACTAAAGGAGATCTAGAGTTGGATGTGATATCGCATTCAAGAATATGTCACCTAATTTGGATTTGGGGCTTGGAACGCATTAGGGAATGACAGGAAACATATAGCAAGGCACCTTGGCAGTTGCTAGGTTGCCAAACCTCTCCTAGCACCAGTTGGCAAGCGGTCAAGCTCCACGCCCACAAGCATTTGCTCCGTGCTAGCGAACCTGACCTGACCTGGCTTTGTCTTTCAACAGACACTATCACCTTACGATAAAAGGCAACGCTTCTAAGAGAAAAAGGTAATGCTCAGAGCCTTACCACCTAAACCAATCACAATCTTTGACCAAGAGAAGAACACGATCATCCAATCTAATTCTTTGAACCTTGTCAAATCTGATGTTCTTGTCCTTTGTACGAATCAACCACGATGCATAACGATAAAAGGCCTCCTCCATGAATAGGTAAGGGACGAGTTCTCTTCTTAAAACCTTTCTCTCTCAAGCCACCAACCATTAGAGCGTTTCCCGGGAACCCCTCCCGGATAACGGCTAACTTTTTCCTTTTCTTTGTATAATACCAGGTCACCGTTATAGCAACAATCCATCAAGTATCTCCCGGAGTATGATATCACATCATTTGGTATCGTCCAATGTGTGAAAATCGAATTCGAAACCACACAGAACCATTTTATCGAAGATGACGAATGATCATACCGACGAACCTAGTGAAGCAACGTAGAGTACAATCCGCTCATGTCATCGCTAGAGCCCATCCTTTCCCAATAACACCACCAGAGGCCACTCCGATGACACTAATGTATGGTCCTTCTAAATGCGTTCAAGCAGGATTCGTCAATCCGATCAGCCAACATTGGCACCCATCCTTACCGTCTATACCGCACCTCTTCTAAGCTTCCCCACTCCACAACCCAGTGGAGCCCAACCTTACCCTACCTGTATAACCCACTTACCATCCGCTACACCAGGAAATAACAAAATTTCACCCTTTCCGAAAGTGAAAACGATACCACCTCCCCAACTAGCGCCTACTCAACAAAAACCGCCCTGCGTTACCACTGATAAGGGCATCAATACCACCAGCTAGCACACAAATTCCATATTTTGTTGCTATTCCTCAGCCGGTACCGATGCCAAACACATGTATTATCCCACAAACACCCATACTAGCACACAACACCATGTTTTCACAACCCTACACACCTTTATAACAGCCGTACCTATACTTAAAGATCTATATGCTCAATAATCATTCTTCAATGATATTTGCTAATGACATATGATCCTATAGGGTCACACCTTAAACAAGTAGACACTTTTTGATTATTTATTAAATAATTTGATTATTAATAAATACTATCAACTCTTGTATTTTAATTAAGGAATTATTGTTTTATGAAAATAATAATAATAGAGAGTATAATTAGTTATTTAATCATATAAAATGATTTAAGATGTTATGTATATTATTTTGGACCTATAGAAGTTCACTAGATAAATACTTTTACACTTAATTAATGGAATGAAGTGTTTAACACTCCATCCTCTCTCTCTCTCTCTCTCTCTCTCAAACCTCCCATGTATAAGGAAGCATGGGCCTGGTTGCTTGTTTTTACTTACTCGTACACAACA